GATATGAATAAAAAGTAGAAAGAGTAATAAATAATAAAATAAAAAAATAGAAATTAAAAAATAAAAAATATATAAACAAAAGAGTAGTATATAAAATATTAAATAAAAGAATAAATAAAGCAATAGTATTAAGTATTAATTATTATAAAAAATATAATAATAATAAAATTTTATAAACCAGAAAAAGTTATATAAAAAGTGATTTTGAAATTTGATAAACTAAAAGACATAAACTATTTATTACTAATATTCATATAATAATTATTATTTTAATGAATTAAAATTTAATTTTATTTTAATAATAAAATTTATTTTGTTTTTAGTTTTCTTTAAATGAATATCTGATATCTGTTTTTTGAAATAAAACCAATAATAAAAAAACATCTAAACATGAACTTTATCAAAATATAGCTACAAAATTATTTAAAAAATATTATAATACTTTGAAGTTGCAACTAGATAGTTATAATAAAATATTTATTAAGAAATATAATATTAAAGATTTTGTGCACATCAAAGATTTTTGAAAGTGATAAAACTTATAACAACTGAAAAACATTTTTTTGCAAAATTTTTAAGGTTTTAAAAATAACATATATAGAATTAGATGTAAGTTAGATATTATCAAAGTTATATTTAATAACAATAAATTACTTTCTTTAAGTTTAAATAAATTTTCATAATTAGATAATATTTTTTTCAACTTTTCTAAGTATTTAAAAAGCATCTATTATGCAATCATTATTACAAATAGGTAATATAAAATGCAATTACAAAAATACTTGTAAAAAAATTATTGTAGATATAAAAAAATAATTTTACTTTGTAAAAATAAAGCTATATTATGCAATAAAATATAAATCAAACATTATCTTAAAGCTACTGTAATGATACTAGTAGCCAATAAATCATTAGTGTAATGTAGGGCATCACAACACTCGAAAGAGGCGTTGGATTTGGCAAGTGTAAGGTGGGTATTCTTTATTATGTCCTATCTATTCTATGTTCTGTTCTATTCTCTATTTACATTTTAAGTGCATTACTTATATACTTTTTTTCCTATTTGCTAAATACACTATTTATGCTCTATACACTATATATGCTATATCTACTTTATATGCTATATTTGCTATATCTTCTATATATGCTATATACACTATATCCTCTATATACGCTATATATGCTATATTTACTAATTACGCTAAATACCTTATATCTACTAATTATGCTATATATATGCTAAACCTATTAATTAATATGTACTATTATTTAATTATGCGATCAATCTTTAATAAATTATCGATGATCCTACTTTAGATCGTGACACTACTTATATATTAAACAACATATTTAATAAATTAATTTAAAATTTACTTTATTTTGCTTTAAGTTAAATTTAAATTTTTTAATTACTTAATTATAGAGCTTGGGCTCTATAGCTTAATAGTAAAGCTACTAATTGGCACAAACTATATCAATGATTCAAGTTAGACTAAAGACAAAATCTTGGAATTTTAATTCTGTAACCTAATATAGAAACTAAAATTAGATGTAAAACCTTGTAAAAAGTCTTAAGATGAAGTACAATAACAGATTAAAAATTCTTAAAAAGAGATTAACTTTGTAAAGTAAAGGTACTATATATAATAGCAATATTACAAAAGATTCTGTATAACAGTATTATGCAAGTAAGCCCTTAGAAGATGAGGCAGCATCAACATCTCTGTATCTAACTTTTAGAATATTTGATTAAAAGAGTAATACTGAGTAATTATAACTAGAGTGATAAGCAATGCAGTATATATAAAAAAAATTTGTAGCAAAGGATTGGTTCAATCAGAATTGAAATATCTTTAACAAATATCTTTAAAGTACTTGACAAATATTCTCCAAGACAGTCATACATTATAACTTAATAATGGGCACCATACTTATATATAATAAGTCAAGATTTTAAACCTTTTTGCAATATTAAACTTGTAATATATTAGTATAAGATAGGCAGTACACCTATAAGAAAGCCTGCAAAAAACATATATAATTAAACTGTAGACCAAATTAACTATAAAAATACAACTGAAAATGGTTATTTTGTAAACTGCAAATTAATAACTCAGATCTTGATAACTTCAATTATGTTCAATTGGATACTAGAAAATATATATAGTTATATATACTAAACTAGTAATAAGAAGAGCAAGAAACTACTGAAGATAACTAATTTAGAAAAATGAAAAGTTATTGCAGATAGTACACAGCTAGACTGCTGTTAGTTTAAAAGTAAAAGACAAAATCTACAGCCTTTCTAGTAGTTTAGTAATAATAATTGAAATACATAATAAAGTCTATAAAAGAGAACATATAGAAAAGTATAGGTATAATGTTATATTGGATGTCTAGAACTAAAAGTAATTTAGTAATACAAATGTAATGTAACTATATATAATTGTAATGCAAAAAACTAAATAAATTATAAGTTACAATTTGATATTATAAAAAAAAATTATTTAATCATAATTTAGAATTTTAATACAACTTATATGCATTTAGAATTTATTTAGATTTAAAATCTAAAATATTTTTATTTCAATGTATGATATATACTGTTAACTTTGAATTTAACAAACTCAAAACTTGAAATTTTATAATAGTCCAGCTATGAATTGTTAATAAAATATAATAATTTTTTATAACTTTTTTTATAATCAATTTATTATAAAAATATTCAAATAGTTAAAATTTATTTATTAATATTTTAGCATTTTATATATTTTACAATATATACAATGTTACAAGAATTCATTTTTAGTATTTTAAAAAATTTGTTTAATTGATTGTTTTTTATCATTTTTTAAAAATTATTAAATAATATAAAACAATTCATGCTTCTATTTCTTAAACTATATAGATTTTTATTTTATTAAATTATTATAAATGCAATGCAATATTTTATTTTTTAAAAATGACTTTAATCCCTTTAACTAGATAAGTTCTAGTTAGTGCATTATGTTGTTAATTTTTTTAAAACTTATAAACTTGCTTCAAAGCATTGATCTAATTTAATAATAATGTTTACTAATTATTATATTTTTCAAAATAATGTAAATTTTAATAGCTTTTATTATATAGATTGATGAAAGTATTTGTTAGAATAAAGGTAGATATATTTACTATGTCTAATAGATTTTTTAGGTTCTAATTTATATTATAGTTTTGTTTGTAAAATAATAAAGTAATAGTTTCAATATTTAAATATATATTTGTAATAACTTTTTATCTTTTTTATAAAAAGAAAAGCTTAGAAATATTATTCAGATAAAATTTTTAATATTTGTAAATTAATAAAGTAATAGTAATTAATACCTAATTTTTTTAACATTATAGTTCAATTATATTATAATTCTAATCTAATTATTTAAATAATTAATTTGGTACATATTTTCTGAATGCATCTGCTTTTAACACAACTAAAAACTGCAACTAAACATTATTACTATTTCTTTTTTCTTGATCCAACTATTTTCTTACACATAGTAGTCTTCTTATTTTGTAATTGTCTTATTTGACAGCTGGTCTGTTTTGAGCAGTTAGAAAGATATTAGCTGATATTGCTTCTCACTCATTTTACTGTTACAATAATATCTGATGTAATTTTACTTATTAATTTTTCTGAGTACACAATGTTTTTAGTTTAAATTACTAAATTTAAATTATTCTTAATATATTTTATGAACTTAAAGTTCTTTAATTAAATTTTTTCTAGCATCTTTAATTACAATTTTTTTAATCAATATTAACTAACTTATGTACTGTTGTATTTAGAAAACTGTGACTTGGCACTTCACACTTTAGAATCTTGTATAACTAATAATAAGTAACCTTTACAAAAGAAGGTGTTAGATTTGGCTGATGTGTGATTAAGGCTTTAAGTTACTTGAGGTTAATAAAGGTCAACAGAATAGGTCACATAATTAACAACTTGAACAATCAATAATTTATATGTGTTTATAGAGTTTATTATCAGATTGTTCATATCAAGTAATTAATCTTTCTACCTACTTATATATGATATTCTAGCAACTTATTTGCATTACATATTTATATAATTTAATCAACAATTTATTTCTAAACAATACTAATAATTTATCAGTTTAACCTTATTGCTTAATAAAATAATGATTAACAAAATAATTCATAAAATTAGTCTAAATGTACTATAAAGCAACTTGAAGTTAAAGTTTTATTTAACATTATTTTCCTTCTATTTATAAGCTTTTTTCTAAAATTAAACAATTAATAAAGTAGTTAAAAATTTTTTAATTAAAAAAATATTTAATATTTCAATATTGCATAATAAAGTAAAAAGCATTAATAATTATTATAAAAAATATTAAGTTCTTTTACACTTTACTATCAGAATACCATAAAATTAATTAATAATATAGATGTTCCAATATATGAATAATTAGTAGAACCAATCAGAAGTGTGAAAAGAAATTTAAACTCAAAAAAAGGATCAATACTCTGCTTTAAATATAAGTAAACTAGCTTATTATTATTAATTATAATAATATGCTCAGGTAGTAAAGCTGATTACAGTACTAATTGATTTATAAATTAAAAATCAGGTTAATAAATATAAAATACTAACTGAATTTTAGACCTATATTCAATTAGCATTTGGTTATTAATAAAAAACAATGATAACTTTCTTGTTACTTAATTTGAATTCTGCTAACAAAATTTCTGTAATATTACAAGTGTTACAAAAAATGATTTGTATTTTTGTAACTGTAATAATCAAATAGTATAACACTTCTTTCAGCGTGCTATTCAAAGTAGATGAAAGTTATACTTTTGAATGTTTCTGAAGAGGATGTTAGAGTTGAAATTCAGGTTAAGGATACAAATATGAGACATAATGTTATGTTTGATGTAAATAGAAATTTAATGCTATATACATGAGAAGAGCAGAATGTTTCACATATTAAGTTTATTATTTAAGATGAACATCCTGAATCATCTTCAAACCTAGTTTCTTTTACATTCAATGTTTTAAACAAAATGATGAATGCAGCATCCAAAGGGTTTTGTCTGATCCAAGACCAACAACAAATCGTAATGATCATTTATATAATGATCTTTTAGCACTTTTACATAGTATAATCTTGGTTAGGAATATGGGACACAAAATTTTGCTGGTAAATTATTCATTAATAAACTTACCTCTCTTCTTTATTATTTGTATGATAAACCGCCATTTTTTCTTCAATTACCATTATATCAACAAAAAGTAATATATATATTTTTATGACTGTTTTTTATTAATACTTACAAAGGCTATTTTCTATTAATAATTAGAAAGACTTTTCTATTAGTGCATAGCGCAATTTGCAATTAAACATTTTTTTTTGCATATCACAGCGCAATCTTTTGTGTGGCTACAAATTGAACCGCTGCTATTCGTTGTTTTTTTGTTGCATCGAATTCTTTGCAGAATTACACTGGTACAATTTTTTTAGAATATTGTACAACCACACTAAAAATAAAAGATTGCGGTATATTTTGTATTACCGTTTTTTTAGAGTAGTTTTTTTTTTTGGTAAATCGAAATGGCACAAAACATTAACGACGCTTTAAAAAAACTAAATTTTGATGAGTGTAAAAAATTTGCAGATACAAACAAAGCAAACGGAAGTTATTGGCTTGGTTACTGTTACGAATTTGGAATTGAGGTTGAAAAGAATGAAAACGAAGCATTCGTTAATTATCAAAAATCTGCCGACCTTAATAATCCCGACGCAATGTATCAAGTTGGTTATTGTTATAATTTAGGAATTGGAGTTGAAAAAAATAATCAAAAATCATTCAAAAATTATTTGAAATCAGCCGAGGTGGATAATTTAAATGGAATCTGGAAAACTGCTTGGTGTTACTTTTACGGAATTGGCGTGGAAAAAAATTATAGTAAATTTGAAGAATGGAGTAAAAAGTAAGCTAATTGTTTAAATCCTAATATTTTAAAATTGAAAATATTTTCATACAATTTTAATAATCCAATTTTATTTCTTAGGGAGTAAGTATAAAAAAATCTGTTAATTTCAATTAAGTTCATAAATATTAATTATTTGTTTGTATTAATTTAGTCCGTAAGTATAAAGAACATTTAGTAATCAGTGGAATTTTGAACAGCAAAGCAAGTTCACAAATCAAGAACATAAATACTTATTTTTCATTACTATTATGTAATGCCCTTCAAATCATTTCATTCGAATTAATTTAGTTAGTGAGTATAGATAACATTTATTAATCATTGGAATTACAAACATCAAAGAAAGTTCACAAATCAAGAACATAAATACTTATTTACCATTACTATTATGTAATAACTATTATTTAATACCTTTCAAATCATTTCATTCGAATTAATTTAGTCTGTGAGTATAAAGAAGATTTATTAATCATTTGAATTAAAAGCAGCAAAACAAGTTCACAAATCATGAGCATTATTTATCATTACTATTATGTAATACCCTTCAAATAATTTCATTCGCATTAATTATTAATTTAGTCTGTGAGTATAAAGAACATTTATTAATCATTGGAATTAAAAACAGCAAAGAAAATTCACAAATTAAGAACATAAATACTTATTTACCATTACTATTATGTAATACCCTTCAAATAATTCATCCGCATTAATCTTTCATTTAGTGAGTGAGTATAAAGAGCATTTATTAATCATTGGAATTTTGAACAGCAAAGCAAGTTCACAAATCAAGACCATAAATAATTATTTACCATTACTATTATGTAATACCCTTCAAATCATTTCATTCGCGTTAATTATTCATTCAGTGCGTGAGTATAAAGAACATTTATTAATAAATGGAATTTTGAACAGCAAAGCAAGTTCACAAATCAAGAATATAAAATACTTATTCACCATTACTATTATGTAATACCCTTCAAACTATTTCATTCGCATTAATTATTCATTCAGTGCGTGAGTATAAAGAACATTTATTAATCATTGGAATTAAAAACAGCAAAGCAAGCTCACAAATCAAGAAAATAAATACTTATTCATCATTACTATTATGTAATACCCTTCAAATCATTTCATTCGAATTAATTTAGCTAGTGAGTATAAAGAACATTTGGGCTGCCATCAATAGAAATCAGGTAGGTTGGCATTTTGAAAAATAAAAACCTTACCTTTCACAGTTCATATCTTAATGAATTTAGAATCTAGTTTAATTATTTAATATTCAAAAGAAAGCTCAAGATCTAAGCTTTCTTTGGCTATTGAATAATTAAACTGACATCAAAATTTATCGAAATATGAGTTGTAAAAGGTATGGTATTGAATTTTTTAAAATGTATCCGCCTGATTTCTATTGACGGCAGCCAATTTGGTAATTATTGGAATTAAGAACAGCAAGCAAGTTCACAAATCAAGAACATAAATACTTATTTACCATTACGTAATACCATTCAAATCTTTTCATTTGCATTAATCAGTAAGTGAGTATAAAGAACATTTATTAATCATTGGAATTTAAAACAGCAAAGCAAGTTCACAAATCAAGAACATAAATACTTATTTACCATTACTATTATGTAATACCCTTCAAATCATTTCATTCGTATGATTTAGTTAGTGAGTATAAAGAACATTTGTTAATCATTGGAATTTTGATCAGCAAAGCAAGTTCACAAACCAAGAACATAAATACTTATTTACCATTACTATTATGCAATAACTATTATGTAATACCTTTCAAATAATTTCATTCGCATAATCATTCATTCAGTGAGTGAGTATAAAGAACACTTATTAATAATTGGAATTAAAAACAGCAAAGCAAGTTCACAAATCAAGAAAGAACAAAAATACTTATTTAACATAAATATTATGTAATACTCTTCAAATCATTTCATTCGCATAATCTTTCATTCAGTGAGTGAGTATAAAGAACATTTATTAATTATTGGAATTTTGAACAGCAAAGCAAGTTCACAAATCAAGAACATAAATACTTATTTACCATTACTATTATGCAATACCCTTCAAATTATTTAATTTAGTTAGTGAGTATAAAAAACATTTATTAATCATTGGAATTTTGAACAGCAAAGCAAGTTCACAAATCAAGAACATAAATACTTATTTACCATTACTATTATGTAATACCCTTCAAATCATTTCATTCGCATTAATTTAGTTAGTGAGTATAAAGAACATTTATTAATCATTGGAATTAAAAACAGCAAAGCAAGTTCACAAATCAAGAACATAAATACTTATTTACCATTACTATTATGTAATACCCTTTAAAACATTTCATTCACATTAATTGTTCATTTAGTGTGTGAGTATGAATAACATTTATTAATCATTGGAATTAAAGAATCAAGAACATAAATACTTATTTACCATTACTATTATATAATAACTATTATATAATACCCTTCAAATCATTTCATTCGCATTAATCATTCATTTAGTTTGTGAGTATAAAGAACATTTATTAATCATTGGAATTAAAAGCAACCAAGCAAGTTCACAAATCAAGAATATAAATACTTGTTTACCATTACTATTATGTGATAACTATTATGTAATACCTTTCAAATCATTTCATTCATATTAATCATTCATTCAGTCCGTGAGTATAAAGAATATTTATTAATCATTTAAATTAAAAACCGTAAAACAAGTTCACAAATCAAGAGCATTATTTACCATTACCATTATATAATACCCTTCAAATCATTTCATTCGCATTAATTATTAATTTAGTCTGTGAGTATAAAGAAAATTTATTAATTATTGGGATTAACAGCAGAGCAAGTTCACAATAAAAAAATAAATACTTATTTACCATTACTATTATATTACCCTTTAAATCATTTCATTCGCATTAATCATTAATTTAGTGGGTGAGTATAAAGAAGATTTATTAATCATTGGAATTAAGCAAAGCAAGTTCACAAATCAAGAACATAAATACTTATTTACCATTACTATTATGTAATACCCTTCAAATCATTTCATCCGCGTTAATCATTCATTCAGTGGGTGAGTATAAAGAAAATTTATTAGTCATTGGAATTAAAAAGCAAAGCAAGTTCACAAATCAAGTGCATAAATACTTATTTACCATTACTATAATGTAATAAATACCCTTTAAATCATTTCATTCGCATTAAATTAGTCAGTGAGTATAAAGAACATTTATTAATTATTGGAATTAAAAACAGCAAAGCAAGTTCACAAATCAAAAAATAAATACTTATTTACCATTACTATTATGTATTACCCTTCAAATCATTACATTCGCATTAATTATTCATTCAGTGCGTGAGTATAAAGAAATTTTTATTAATCATTGGAATTTTGAACAGCAAAGCAAGTTCACAATTCAAGAACATAAATACTTATTTACCATTATTATTATGTAATACCTACCCTTCAAATCATTTATTCGCATTAATTTAGTCGGTAAGTAAATAATCATTTACATTCGAGATAAGGTTTAAAATAGCATGGCAGATGAAATAATAAAATCAATATATTATATATTGTGAT